GGTGACGTATTGGTGCTCCGGCATTAATTATATACGGAAACTTGTCCCACAATCTGTCAGGCAGGGTGAGCAGCTCGCAGAGCAGCTCGCTGATATCCTGTTTCAGGAACACAATATTCACCCCCCCCCCGGTGGGAACGACAATCCTTGGCGGCAGTAGGGAACAGGGCAGCCGCTTTGGTTTTTTTTTGCCTAGGAATCTATGGATTCGGTAAAGTGGATCACAGCTCGGTATCAGCGTCGCGGTCCCCTTTGACCTGTCGTGGATCAAATGTCACATATGTACCGAGGTGTCCTCGGCAAAGCGCCAACAAAGGAACCTATTGTGCACCTTACGGATTGGGTTACGTGTACCATTGAAAAGAGCGGCTGTAGTTTTACGGTTAGATGTCAGGACATGGTGTCGTAAAAATATGTTATATCAAGTAAACACAGTTTTTGAGTCACCGGGGAATACGTCGTGCGAGGGGCAGACGACGGACACAACATGAAAGTGGTGTGGGGTGAGAGAGATTGTCCCACCGGCTAACTGTGTTCTTGACTAACGACATTGAGTTTACACCCATGTCACGTGACTGTAATAACAGTAAAATTTTTTTACCCTAGCCGCACCCGCCTTTTACCTTCTCTTTTTTTTCACATGGTTTTTAGTTACCTTTACACGAGTGCCTTAGTGTTAAACGTTCTAGCGCAGAATGTACTATATACTAGTACCTAAAGTACAACGTTGAAGCTAAGGATGCAAAGTGGAGTGTTATCCTGTGACTTTTAGTATAATGGTGGTGTGGCCCATCCGGGCAACAATTAGAGCAATAATATAGAGGTTTCGTATTGGGCGATCTTGCCTTGACTTGTGTTGCGGGGTGAACCTTCTCCTTTTGCGGGTTGATCGGATGACAATAGTGCAATATTTGATCCGATTCGCCAAGGTCATGGTGGGAGGTTTGGGATGGAACGCCGCTTTGTGTCTTGATTACTGAGGCTGTGAACCAGACAGTCATGTTCATAGGATGCATTGGTTTCCCTAGAGTCGCCCAAGGAGTTCCCACACGTTCGAATAGGGTTCTGAAAAGGAGAGAAAAATGCATGCATCTGTTGAGGTTGCGAAGTTTGTTATATATATAACTAACTAAGCATCACTTACTTAAGCCCTGTGATGTGAAGTATGTCAATACAGTAGTAAAGTTAAGAATAAAACTTCATACTGATCACTTAAATTAAAAGTAAACTTTATGGGAATAGAAGGAAGATATAACACACAGATAAAGGTAGTACAGCAAAAAAGAGGGAAGGTGAAGAGTCAGAATGAGTCGTTATGGTTGGTTGATGTTTTGCACAAAGAGCATAGACGTACGAAGATAAGAGATTGAATGGGGGATAGAGGAAGAGTCCACCACACTGACGGGTGTTGCACAAAAAAGTAGGGGAGAGTTTCGCAGCCTCAGTTCATACAGCCAGTAAAAAAAAAAAAAAAAATAACATCGTAAAAAGACTAAAAAGAGGGAAAGATGTGGTTGTGCAGATAAGTGCTGAAGGAGTGAGCTGTTGGAAAGGGCAAAGACAATGAGAGTCAAAGAGAAGAAGATAAGAAAGGAAGAGCGGAGGGTCATAAGACAGAGTAGAAGAGTGGTGAGAGTCGGTGTGCGAAAATGTCAGGTGGGATAGTAGAATGAGGAATGATAGGAAGTTGAGAATTGGATTATAGGAAGAGAAATTCGAAGTAAGAAAGTAAAGTTTGAAGAAAGAAGACTTGTTGATTGTAGGTAATCCACCCCCGTTTCGAAAGATCAGAAAAAGAGTACTGAGTTTAGGGTAAAAAAAAAAAAATAAAACATTGAAAAGAATTTGAAGAATAAAAACGGTATCCCCACTGGTCATATTCCTAATTCTGTTTATTATCATTTTATTAAGTGTAGTTATATGAGTATGTGATTGGGTCATATTATCATTTATTGAGGGTCCGCAGTTGATAGTGCTAACTCTAAGTCGATACTGTAAGCGCCCCTTTTGCGTTGACTCTTTCCCCTGCTGCCTGAGTATTGCGACCTTCACTACCCCTCTGTACTTTGCTGAGTAAGAATGTGGTGTCGGGCGTTCTGTTTAGGGGTCTGTCGGTGTCTCGAAAGAATAGCCTCCTCAGCATAGTTTTTGGGGAACATAAACCACGAGAGTTAGCAAGTAACCCCACAGTTCCTTCTCTTTACACTTTCCACGTCACAAGCGTGCCTGAATAGGTGTTAGTAAGGTCAGTCAAGTTTAGCCAAGCGGTCTTGTGCTCAAGTCGTATCCAACTCAAGCTCAAATTAGCAACCCTCTCAGTGTTCTACCTCAGGTGTCCACCTGATTAGTCTTCGTCTCATCACAATCAATTGGCTGAGGAAAGTTAAATAATTTTTATTTTTTATATTTTTTTTAAAAATTCCGCTAATACGTTTAATATACTCATTTTTAAACTAAGTAAGTAGTATTTGAGATTTATTTTTAATCTCACAATGAACATCGGGTACGGTGGTGTCTCCTCTGTTTTTGATGCAAGCCGTTCCTGTATACATTTTGAAAGCATAAGCCATGATTGATCAGCTAATTACCAGGTTTCAATTTGTCTATCTGTATCTAGAAAATCATATAAGATAAAAAATTTTATATATGTAGACAAAAAATATTATAACATTTATTTAAACAAAACTGACAATCTGCTTTAAAGAGTCTATTGAAAAATAATGACTGGAGAATTTGTTTAAAATTTAAGGTCAGAGTAGGACCAAGGGATGGTTGCACGTTGGGTAAAAAAGCTAATTAACAACAACCTGCAAAGAGTCTACGGGCGTAAACCCCTGATTTAGTTGTTAAAGGAATGCAGGCGTGGCTGAGTGTTGAGTTTTGGCAGAAGGGGGCGGAGCGGGACACAGTTTATTGTCCAGAGTGTCATTGATAATTTTCTTATCTCGAACATGTTTATCTAAATATTTGCCACGGTGCGAACCTATGAAAACCCCCATAAAAGCAGAGTCTTCTATTGGCCTGGGGAATTAGCTCGAAATAAAATATGTATAAATCTGTTGTTGAGAAGCGCTTCTAACAACAGCATGAATGGTTTCTCGATTGTGTCACAGATAAGAATAGCAATTGGTGACCTGTTCCACAATAGACTGTAACGTATTACAAAGAGATTACAACGCAATGATTTTTTGTGTTTTTCCGTTAATAGTGTATATGCGTTGTTTCTCAGTCTGTAAGTAATATCGTGGTTCATTATTGGACGGAGAGAAAGAGAAAAAGGCAGCAGTGTGGCGAGTGTATATAACCAAAGCACTACTTAACCTGTCATGTTGAAGTAGTCTATACAGTAAACTATGGGAATACATGTGTATAAACAACAGATGAAGGAGTATGTTCATGACTAGAATTAGACAGTCGAGTGGCTAGACCTCCATCCATTGGACATTACCGAACACCTGGAACCGTACCGAAAGAACAAGAATCGAGAGCGAAGAAATCAAATTGGTTTACACTAGCTCGTGAAAAAGATATTGGATATTGGATATTGGACAATTACTGTGAAGTTATAGCAGTTAAATTAAGTATAAGAGTCAGTTTCTGATAACATATTTACACCATGTCACTGACATAAACAGTAAAATACAGCCGCCTTTTCAATGGTACAGTACAAATAAGTAAGGTGCACAATAGGTTCTTTTGGCGATTTGCCGAGACCAATAGTGAATTTGATCCGAAAGGTCAAAGGGAACGCGCTTGATACGAGCTGTGATCCAGACAGTCATGTACATAGGATGCATGTTCCCTAGAGTCGCCAAGGATTTCCCACCGTGAATAGGGTTCTGAAAAGGAGAGAGAGAGAGAGAGAAAAATGCAGCAGTGTGGCAAGTGTATATATATAACTAAAGCACTACTTAACCTGTTATGTTGAAGTAGTCAATACAGTAGTAAGTTAAGATAAAATTCATACTGATCACTTAAATTAAAGTAAATTATGGGAATATAAGAATATAACACACAGATAAAGGAGTACAGCAAAAAAGAGGGAAGAGTTGTGCAATGTCAGGTGGATAGAAGAGAATTCGAAGTAAGAAGCTTGATTTATGTACGTTGAAATCGAAAGAGTAGAGTTTGTAAAAATAAAACATTGAAGAATAAAAGTTATCACTGTCTAACTGTTTATTATTATTATTATTATTATTATTATTATTATTATTATTATCATTATTGAGTGCTAACTTCTAAGTCATACTGTAAGCGCCTGAGTAAGAATGTTGCGGGTGTCTCGAAAGAATAGCCTCCTCAGCATAGTTTTGGGAACATAAACCACAGAAGTAGCAAGCGTATAATAGCAACCTCAGTGTCACTGATTAGTCGTCTCATCAATCAATTGGGGAAATAAAAAATTTTTAAACTGTTAATACTTAAACAAGAAGTAA